TAGCATTCTGTCAAAATGATTTTTTTTAGAAATACCGAAAGTTTCAAAGAGATCTTCCCACTAGAAGTATTTTTAAATGTGAAGAATACAACCTCGGGGGTACAAAATGACCCCAGGGCGTATGCATAGGGTTAAAAATGACAGAGTTCGTCCCATCATAAACTGATGGTGACCTTTGACTTCCAAATTAGAAGAGAAGCTATAGACCGTGTTGTAGGTGTTGTCATAACCTTTTTGGTACAATAAAAAAAAGTTGCTGGCTATTTGAGTGGTCCTCTCAGACCTTCACAAAGGAACCTGGTACACCACTCCTTTCTGTCGGAGCGGAAACAAAACGTTCGTCTCGCAAACTTTGGGGAATATAGAAGTCTTCTCACTTGTCAAGTTGTGGATCAGCTTGTTTTTAAAAGATATTTTAACAAGTAAGTTTTTTACGGCACTTGCAACACAATAAGGTTATAAAAATACCGAAGATTAGAGATGTTACAGCTTCAACCAGCTAGGCGCAATCAAATGATACATGTTACTATAGTCTTTCAACCATGCCCCAGACAATAAGATGGACATTAAGAGACCAAATTTTAAATCTTATCATAATTCAGCCGAGAATCGAACCCATTATCCACACGGGCAGGTATAGTGCAGCATCCCACCCCTCCTCTTAAATAACCTAATAATGTTGAACCTTTACCATTTCATGTTCACAGTACAGGCCTTCAGACACCGGGTCAACGACTTCTCCTAGTACTGGTCACATAATGTCAAATATTAGGCGAGAGAGCTGCTAGAATGTTAAAAATATAAAGTCTCATTTATAAAACGACGGGCAACAAAGTTTGAACCCACACCTCCCAGTAACCAAGCTTACACTCAACCATTAGGGTTAATTAATTTACTGACCAAGGGCCTCAATGAAGGAAAATTCTGGGCGCCCCCGATTGTTTCAAATCAATCAAATTTATCGTTAAACGGACAGTGTGCACTAAGTATTGCTGTTGCTTTCGTTCTGGTAGGACACCAGGGAAAGGACAATAAATGTGAGGCAGCGTGGTGGAATCAGGCTCTCGTCAAAATAATCAAACTGAAGAAACTTGCATTTTACTGCAAGTTTGTGAATTTTAATGAAATTTTTTTTTGGGGGGGGGGTTTGGCTCAACACCTTTCATGCCCATTAAAGAACTCATTTCTGGTTCGATTTTTCTGAAAAACGTTGATTAAAGGCACAAAAAAATGTAAATTTTCAGTTGACCTGGACTCATAAGCTAAGGAAATAACTAATATTTGGCAACCATTTTCTCACTAATTTTACCTTTTAAAAAAACAGGTGACCCCACCTCCTTCATTCGCAAATATCTCGACTTGTATTCAAGAGAAATGGGTATTTTTTTCACCCAAATAAAGACAAATGAACAAGCCTTAAAATAATACCAATAGCTCCACATGCCCAAATTTTGACGAGCGCCTGATTCCACCACGCCCTGGCTCAAATAATATTTGAAGGGCAGAAAGGGCAACCCACAACGGTGCACCCGTCAACCACCCATATAATGGAACACTGATCAGACTAAATTATATTGATGCTTATTTTTTTTTTCATAGTGAGTTAATTAATGTCGGGGGTGGGGGCGCACAGGTGCACTAAAAATGAAGTTTTAATTAGTAGCGGTACCAATGAATTGTAATCCTCGTCTTGCATTGTGTGCTTTCCGGGAAGCCGAAAATGTTTCTGATTCATGTTCTAGGGTAACCTGTGATAGTATTAGTATTAGTTGTAAAACACACCGAGCATTCTTTCGACTTTAGAGCGTTTATATACGCTATATACATATACAGACATTATTGATAAATAAACGTGGTTTCTAGCTTATAAACATAGAGGAAAAAAGGTACACTGTGAGCAATATTAATTAATATTTTTATTTTTTATCACTATGACGCAGTTCCCTCTCATAAGTCTTACTCGAACGAGTTTTTATTTCTTTTTTGACCCTCCGGTTTTTCCACTGATGAAAGAGGTGAGGCAGTCTCTGTACCTTGAATTGAACTGGAAGTAGACCACAATGTTGATGGCAGCGCTGAAATAGCCGCAAAACGTCCCCGTGGTGGAGCAGACGATGAACAGATAGTGGAACCTCCGGCCCAGGTCGAAGTCCGGCACCGCGAGGCGCGCGAGAGAGTTGAGGATCACCGGGACATTCGAGAGCAAGAAAATGGCGCACACAAGGGTCACCGCTTTGATCACTTGTATCTCCTTCCCGTTCAGCGCTCCGTGTGATGTCTTCTCTTTTTCAGATTGTACTAGCTTTGATGATGGTGGGGTTTGCGCATATATTGGTGACGTCATTCTTGTGGTGTGGTCATGGGATGATGAGGATGACGATGCAGAAGTTGAAGTCACAATGGTAGACGCTTGACGGAAAGTCGCGGATGCTCTGAGCGCGTTTACCAAAGCGAGCAGACAGACGAAAGAGATGGCGACACATGTGTATAGAAGAGCGTTGTTATTGAGTGTGTCGTAAACAGACTTACTCTCGCGGAACCCAGCCAGTCTCTTCAAGGTGAATCCAGACACAAGAACACTGGATTTGTTAATACCTCTACTCACTCGATACCTTGACCATGTCAGCTCTTGGGTGGCGATCGGCGGAACGTGCAGGCCGATTCCGATAAGAAAAATCGCAACCAGGACGATGTACGTCCTTTTCAGGGTGAAGAAGTGGCG